CCATCCGTCGGGAAGCTTGCCCCTAGAGTGGTGAAATGCATCTTTGTGGGATATTCTGCTACTCAGAAGGAATATGTTTGCTGGAGCCCAGTGGAGAAAATGTTGTTTGTGAGCATGGATGTACACTTTCGAGAACTTGAGCCATATTACACTCGGAAGGTAACTTCATCCGTTGGTAACTCACCTAATACTGAAAGTATGAGGCGAGAGGAGGAGAATAGTGAGAGATCGGTGAATGTGAAGAAATCAATTTCTGTAACGATTCCTTGGGAAGAAATGGTTGAGGAGGAGCAGGAGAATGAAGAAGAAGAGGAGAATGAGACAAGAGAGGAGAATGAGACAAAAGGTGTTAGGTCCACGACTCAGGGGGAGCTACTTACCTATAGTAGGAAGGAGAAACAAATTGTGGGAACAGTATCTACAGTGCTACTGGTACCAAGTCCCTTGCCAATGCCTGTCCCGACTCCTGAGACACCTACACCACCACCAGATTCCTCTCAAGGTGATACCATTCCTCTTCCTACTCCAGACACCTACACCACCACCAGATTCCTCTCAAGGTGATACCATTCCTCTTCCTACTCCTCCCACACCAATGTCTGTACGGAGGACTACTCGCAGTAATTCAAGGTGATACCATTCCTCTTCCTACTCCTCCCACACCAATGTCTGTACGGAGGACTACTCGCAGTAATACGGGAAATCCTCCCAATAAATATGGTTGAGATCTTGCCCAGTTTGTATCATATTCTAACATCCACCCTGCACATGGAGCATTCATTACATCACTGGACTCTGTTACTATACCTAACAATTGGCAGGTTGCAAAGAAGGACAAAAAATAGAAAGCTGTTATGCACGAAGAGCTAGGGGCCCTTGAGAAGAACCGTACTTGGGAGTTAGTAAAACTACCAAAAGGAAAAAGAGCAGTTGGATGCAAGTGGGTCTTCACTGTGAAGCAGAATCCAGACGAACAGGTTGAGCGCTACAAAGCTCGTCTGGTGGCAAAAGGATATAGTCAGACATATGGCATCGATTATGATGAGACTTTTACACCGGTGGCGAAGATGAGCGCTGTTCGGACCTTGATCTCTCTGGCAGTAAATGGTGGATGGAAGCTACACCAATTAGATGTGAAGAATGCATTTCTTCATGGGGATCTGGTGGAAGAGGTATACATGAAAATTCCGCCAGGATTCGACACAGATCAGACAGTGGGCAAGGTCTGCAGATTGAAGAAGTCTCTATATGGCCTGAAGCAATCTCCACGTGCTTGGTTCGACAGATTTAGGCGGGCTATGATAGGTATGGGATACCGGCAGATTAACGCCGATCATACCGTGTTCTTTCGACAAAATGAAGGTCACATCACCATGCTTGCGATATATGTGGATGATATGATTATTACAGGGGATGATGAGAAGGAGATTGCCCAACTCAAAGTGAGACTGGGTAAGGAATTCGAGGTGAAAGATCTTGGCTTGCTTCAATACTTTCTTAGAATAGAGATAGCTCGAGGAGCGGAGGGGATTGTCCTATCCCAGAGAAAATATGCACTGGATCTTCTCAAAGAGACAGAGATGTTAGGGTGTAAACCTGTAACTACACCGATCGACCAGAATTTCAAGCTGGGTGCTGAAGCTGGAGAACCAGTTGATCGTGACAGATACCAAAGACTAGTGGGCAGGTTGATCTATCTGAGTCACACACTTCCCGATATCTCTTTTGCAGTGAGCGTGATGAGCCGCTACATGCATGATCCGAGGAAGGGTCATATGGACGCTGTGTACCAGATTCTGAGATATTTAAAGAGTGCCCCCGAAAAGGGGCTGATATTCAGAAAGAATGGACATGTGAGCATTGCGGGTTATTGCGACACTGATTGGGCTAGCTGTGCTGATGACAGGAGGTCCACCTCAGGATACTACATCTTTATAGGAGGCAACTTAGTCTCGTGGAAGAGCAAGAAGCAGTCAGTGGTGGCGAGATCAACAACTGAGGCAGAGTATAGAGCTATGACCTTAGGAGTTGCTGAGTTGCTATGGTTGAAGAGTATGCTGGTGGAGCTGAAGCTGGATCAAGGAGCTAAGATGAAGTTGTAGTGTGATAACAAGTCAGCTATCAGTATCGCCAACAACCCAGTGCAGCATGATAGAACCAAACACATCGAGATTGATAGGTTCTTCATCAAAGAGAAGTTGGATAGTGGACTACTGGAGCTAAGTCATGTTTCAACTAAAGACCAGGCAACAAATTGTCTAACTAAGGGACTTAGCTCATTAGATATGATTAGAGGATGTGACAAGATGGGCTTAGTGGATATCTTTCACCCATCTTGAGGAGGAGTGTTGACATATTAGTAATATATAGAGACTTATTTGTAAGTTATGTGTTGTAAGGGCCTATATAAGCCCAAGTTATCTCAGCAATGAATTAAGGTTTCTCATATAATTCTACTGGAGGACACCTCACCCTCCTCTACTTATATATATATAGGTGTACACATTTAATACTTTAACTAAGGGAAATTTACCCCAATACTCTCTCTCTCTCCTCTCTCTCTCTCTCTAAAAATGAAAGGGGAAAACCTGATCATGTATCCATCGATCTCAAACCCTTTCCCCTTTGGCTGAGGAACTGTCATCGATTTTGCCTGTGGCCCAAATGGCGGCTTCTGCATTGATGCTCGGTAATCTGTGCCTACCGAATCTGGCATCGGGACTACGACCCGATCCTTATACTCCATAATATCCATAGCTTCAAGATCCACGACCACACTAATGCCCTCCAAAGGCCTCACATAGAAGTTTGTTGTATCACCAGTCAGAAAACAAAATATCTTGACAAGCCTTTTCCCTTGCTTCATCTCGCCAAACCATCCACTGTATATGTTGTGCACACTACATCCTTCATCTTCGCTTCTCTCCTCCCTACCGAGTCAATGAACAGAGTATAGTTCATCGACAGCTGAGATGCTGCTTCTTGTTCTTTGATTGTTGGGATCGGGTAGCCAAAACCTTCATAGATGTGATCGGATATTATAGTTTTGTCGATTATGTCGACGTAGATTTCATGTGCTTTGTTGATGAAGGCTCGTCGTGGTGGTGGACGAGCATCGGAGGGATTGGTGAGGTAGGAGAGAATGGTGGGCTTATCAGGTTCATCAAGGCTGACATAATGGAAAGTCAGGGTTTTTGATGAGCCAAGATTGGAGGACTTGATGATATTTGCTACGGTGGTGATTTTGGACGGAGACAAGGAGTCGAATGGGTGGCCGTGGACTAAGGCTAATAAGCTCAAGAAGAAGAGGAGGACGAAGAGAGGAACCAAGTTCATTTTTGAGTTAGTGGGAGAGAGATATTAAAAATATTTGTGATAAAAGAGGATACATATAGATGAGCTAAGTGATGCGATTTGTTATTGGCTACTAGTTTGAAATATTTTGTGCAAATGGTCAGGGCCAAAAGGGAATTATGGAGATTTTCCCGTTGTAAGTGTGACGACAAGGAAGAGTGTAACTGTGCACAGACAAAAGTTTGAATAATTGGAGATTGTAGCAAAATGAATTTGGAGAGCACTTTTTCAAACAACTCCTGAGAATTCTAAAGATGCCACTCTTTCGTGAAGAGATAATTAAGTGTGATTACTATTACGTAGGCACCATGCTTAATCATCACTCCATTTCTCTTTTCCATGTGTTTATTAAGGTGTACATGTTGCACAAATTTTGGTGAACTTGCCGTTTTTGCATTAATATCTTGCATTTTTGGATCAGGCTGCCTTCATAAATTTAGATGTAGTAGGGATCTAGCTATTTCTAACGACGTCAGTAGAAAATAACAATGAGACTCCTATTTTTCATAGAAGAGATATTAAAGTTCGATCACCATTACATAGGAAACCTGCTCAGTCCTGACTCCATTTCTTTGAACCATGCATTTATTATGGTGTACACATGGCAGGATGAACTTGCCTTTTTTGCAATAATATGTTGCACTTTTGGATCAAGTTGACCTTATAAACTTATTTAGATGTAGTAGGGATTTAACAATCTCTTTTTTATCAAGCTCTACTGCTTCTAATTTTGAGAAAATGTTTGAAAATAACTTGTAGTATTAGAATGTGAATTCTTCTTAGGCATCATGATGACAAAACATAAATCTAAAGATAAATTGGTGCAATGACTTCGGAGATAGGACACAGGAACCACATTGAGTCTCTTGAGCAGCTCATCATATGAGAGGAATAGAGCTAATCATATCTCATCTCAATATATTGCATGCAATTTGCTAATGTTCTTGAATATCAATGTTTTAGCCATCCATTCTTCTACGAGTTATTGACGTGATTGGGCCTTTTTTTTGGTGCGATGAACCTTAGCTTAGTACCAACCATGTGGTTGGGACATGGGGCCTTGGCTCAAAAGGCCAAAGGCCGATCTATATATATGACATGTCTAACCCCAATTTATAATTATTAGACATTGCAACACTTGTGTTATTCACCTAGGCCTGAACTGCAAAATGGACCCAGGCCCTTGGATTTTCTTGGCAATTGGGCCATTTTACATGTTTATAGATTTGGTCTTGATTAATAGATGACCGCATTTCATGAGGATGGATCCGTAGCACTCTGCTATCTTTTCTTCAGGCTCTTTTATCAGTTGCAAATTTTATTGGTGAATTATATGCAGGAAAGTTGATATCTTGCTACTTCTTGATCAGTAAATGTTCTTGCTTCGAGCATACTGCATTGGGCTAAAGATAAATTGGACTGGAAGAATAAGTAAAAGGTTCTGCTTTTTGCCAATTGCTGTAACCTGGGTAAACACTTGGAAGAAGTGTGGCATTAAAGCGCAGAAGTTTAACTTTTCTATAGTTTTACCACAAGTAAATCATTGGAGGTGCTAAAAATAGGACGACATAAGAGGCCTGTGATCATGGGAGCTTAATGTCTTCAAATGAATTGGCTGTATTTATAATGTTTGGCATATTAGAATTTTGATATTTATTATTGGGATAACCTTTTTCTTGAGTTAACCGGTAAAGGTCCCTTGGAAACTTTGGGAAAAAGTTGACATCAGCCCTAAGTTATATATACTTATTGATTACTTTCACTACCCAGTTGTAGCACACTTCGGTGCTGGATATTATAGACTGGCAGAAGCTAGCGTATTTGTTATCTTATAATAAAAAGCCCATAGGGATACTGTATTTGTTGAGAGTATAAAATGGACTGGAGAACATGAATAAACCAAATAGATGAATGCAACTGTGTGTAAACAGACAAGAATTTATTACAACAGGATTTCCAAAAGCTAAATTTGAAGGTCATTGCAAATCTGAAAATCAATGTTCAACCTTGAAGAAACCAGTCTGCTAGAATTTTGCATTATAACGTGCAACAATGGAGATTAAAAAAAATTTATCATGTCTTCATGAAAGCGGGGTGCTCCCTTTCAAACTTAAACGGATAACTAGTACACATTGTATAATAACTATTATAATTAATTCTTCATCTCCTCAAGACAGTGAATACTTAACTGCAGCTTCATCTGGATTGGAATAAAATCATCATGAAAGTATCTCATGAAACGAAAAGTCCTCATTAATCATTCCACTTACCGTGTGTAATCTGCTTGTGCTCTTGAGTCTTGAAGTTTGGCATTCTTTCTAAGAATTATTTGGTGCAGTTTGGCCATGTTACATGTTTGTGAGGTTTGGTCCTGATCAACGGATTGCTCTCGAAAAAGTTGGAAGGTCGAAGCTCAAATCCTCCGACCAGCATTGACATCAGTGGAAAATCTTCTTGGTAAGGTATGTGGTGAAAACCAACAGTATACCACAAGACAATATCAGTATTCTCTATAACTCTATTCCTGCGTTACCCCCATTTAAAATTTGAAGTCAGCATTCACGTGTGCACACAATTCCTATTCTGCGTCGAACTGTTAAATCTTGGCTTAAATTACAGAAGTTATTAACGTGTACACAATGTCAAAAATTTTAGCTTTATTTATCTATTTCTTATATTTGGTTGATAAATAATCTATATATAGGCATCATAGATTATTGAGAACTACATGTAACTCCATTCACAAAATAGAAGTTTATTATCACCTACACAAAAATGCAGATAATTCTTGACTTTGCTAACCATTTAAATAGAGATGTATATATTTTTTTTTGAGCTGACACGATATATGCAAACGAATGATTAGGTTTGCTACTATTTGCAGTATTTGGATAAACGTGTGAAGATTTTTTGACATTATGTGTGAAATTTTGCTAGTATGCGCATATTACTATGGTTTCTTGTGCTGAATGTTTTATCTGAAAATTTACCTGTTGCTCCAAACAGCAAGGTTGTCATCTCCTCTGCTCTGATCAGTATAAAGTCCTGCAGCCAACTTCTCTGACTTATTATAAGCTGTCACCCACACCTGCTTCTTACTGTAACTTGCTCGTATCTGAGGATAGTCATCATCAGTCAAAAGTGATGTCGCTTTAGCGCCATGACTAATAATCCGATATCCTATATCATTTCCAAGCTCGGTCTTCTTAGTTGGATTCACAATCAACAAATCAGCCAGCTCTGACCCAATTTCAATCCTCGCATCGGCTTCAGTCTTTGCTGTCTCTTTAACGACTGTCCAGTAGCTCTTACGAGGTGTGCCTCCATCGATAACTTTTACTGTTTTGATCTTGTTTTTGACGAAGGAGTTAGTGTAGCCATCAATGTCGAGATCCAAGTGGTAGGTTATGAGGTGGTCATGATACACAGCTATTGTGTTTTGAGCTACAAGTGTTCCATGGTCGTCCGTGTGTATTTGATCCACATGAGTGTAGGGGCTGCCTTTAACTTCTAGGATTCCTGTTAGTGACACCTGTAAAGATATATAATGATACCAGCTGTATTAGCTGATGAAGAATGTCGTATCGAGGATTAATTTCTTGCAGAACTCCCGAAGTTCGGCCCTTTTTTGAGATAACTCCTTAAGATTAAAAAAATGTCATGAAACTCCCCCTTTAAGTTTGGTCTTTTCTGATGGGGGCTTTTGCCATTGCCTTGTACACAGGCTGTCAGATCTGAAAGTGCGACTAGTCCGATCTAACATAGTCAGTTATGGGCTTATCCAACAAAATTAACTTAAGGGGGGTTAAGTGACATTTTAAATTTAAGGCGGGTTATGTAAAATTTGCGTCAAACTTATGGGGGTTTTGTGATATTTACCCTTGTAGTAAACAAGAAGGAAGTTATAATCCTACCCCAAATTTTATCGAGCCACTAGTCTTGAACTCCCAATCCGTGACATAATCATAGTTCCCAACAGTTGATACCATCCTCACCACTAAGCTTATCTCAGGCCGAGCTTCAGTAACCTGTAGCTTAAAACATTTAGCACGGCCATGCACAAACCGTGAATCTCAAAATAGTATTTCCTTCACTTACCACTTCCCCTGGGATACCAATTTCTGTGTGTCGCCATGATGCATCTCCTCCATATCTCTCAAAGATGCAAAATACATTCTGAATCTTCACTGGTTGTCCATCTTGGCCAGCATAGTATCCATCCATGAAGACAGCATTGGCTGGGCAATCTGTCGTGGGCTGGAGTGGGGATGCAGAGAGCCCGAATCCGTAATCCCCTGCGTCTAAGTAAGTCTTGTAGTACCATTCTTCAGATGGGTCCATGTATGGTACAAAGAGCTCGGATACGAAACCCCTGTACAGTACGCTCCGATGGGGACTTGCGTCATTCTCTTGAACAGATGCTAGAGAAATGACAGTGCCAGCTCTAATGTCAAAGCTCAGGTGGAAAACCCAGTTTGCCCATCTGAATGATAACGGCAGTTGTTAGGAACTAGGAAAGCTGTGTTTGGTAGAGAAGGCCTTAGTTTTGCCAAAAGGCATCTTTTGGTCTGATTAGAAATTAGATATTCACGTTGTAAAATTTTCAATTATTGTTTCTTGTTTTGAAACTTGATGTTCCAGTCAAACCATGAAATTGGTCACTATGCTGAGATTTCTGTCTACACTATTAGGATTGTTTTGTCTTTTGTCCCTAAATGTAAACCAAAACAGATCCTCTTATAGAAACAAATAATTTGTATGCATAGGAGTAATTCCATTTCCAATTCGTCTAATCTGAAGTAATCCTGATAAACTAGACGATCACCAATAGGCTCAGGGATGAAGACACCCAAAAGAGAGTACCTGGCTATACACTTGAATGCAGCATCCGCTGTCGTTTAATTTGACTAAGCGCCTCTCTGCCTGAAGCAATAGTTGAACTAATGAGGAGATATGGAATGAGTGATATGTATTATCCTGTGATGGTATCCTTCTATGCTTGATACCTGTG